TGTGTGAAAGAGTGAGACTCTGTCTCAAAAAAAAAATTAAACTATTCTGCTTGTCAAAAGGCAACAAAAGGCAAACCACAGAATGGAAGAAATGTTCGCAAAACATTGTGACAACAAAAGACTTGTATCCAGAGTATATAAACATCTCCTAAAACTCTATGCACTATTTTGAGTTTATAAAATGGTAATGTGTTCTTGTTTATGAATATAATAACCTTGTAATAATCACATGTCATATTCCAATCACAATTTAAATAAATAAAAAAAGAAAAAGAGAATAAAGAATCCCACACTGCAGGATCTCCTCTACCTCTTCCCGCTGCTTCTACTGAAGATCTAATTGGGAAACAGATCATCCACCCTTCCTTTTCCCTGGAGAGGCAAAGAAAAGTATTTCCAAAGGCTGAGAAAGTAAATTTAACAAACAGAAAGATAAAATTACTAATGTGAGGGCAAGGTGCCATTCCTGAAATAATAAAAAAGAAGAAATTGGTACATATTGAAGACTTCTTTAAATGATTGGAAGTAATTTGGGCAAAATGAGAACAACCAAAGAAGAGATGAAAGAATATTTATGGTGAATTAACAGTTATTGAAAACCAATAGATTAGCTAAATTGGTGAAATTAAAAATGAACTGAGCATGCCACATACATCAATGTCCAAAAGCAGCCATTCTCTGTGGGGAAAGGTGAGTGTTGACTCTTCCTGGAGACAAGAGGTCCTTCCTAATTAAGTTCACAGGCAGTGATTTTAGAGTATGAAATGCAGCTTGCTGATTAACGCATGAAACAGAATTCCAGGCTGAATTATTATTTACATTTAAGAGCATCTTTTTAAACCTCTTAAATTAAAATAAATGTACAGTTTATTAAATTATTATAAGATAATCACCCCTGCAAACCACTACCCAGATTAAGAAATGTAACTTAGCTGAACACAGAAGCTATGTCTCAATCACAATCATGTCTCTCCCCTGTAAAAATAACCATCCTCCTTATGTTTAAGCTTCCTTGAAAGTTACATCACTCAAATACATATCCCTGATACTGATAGTTTTGGTTTGCTTGCTTTTATTTTTATGTGTCTTTTAAGTCCCTTTTAGTCTATATGCCACACTTCTCATCGCCTTCCTTGTCTGCAATTTATTTTTGAAGAAATTGGGTGATTTAACCCATGAATTTTTTTACAGTTTGGATTCCAATGATTGCCTAATCATAAGGTAGTGTTAGTTTCTTGATTCTCTGTGGTTTCTTTAAAGTAGTTATTGGTCTAAGATGCTTAAACTTTTAATACATTGACTTTAGACTGCTTCAATGCCATTTGCAATAACTATTGTATGACCTCTGAATTTTTGGTAGGCAAGAGGCAGAGCAATTGCAACTCAGAACATCACGTGGAGCCAGGAAATGCTGCTAGGAGAGAGGGTGGCTACACTGACAGAATTGAGGGCAGTTTTCCCGGCTGGGTTTAGAGGCCATGTGCAAAACAGAAACCTTGTAGCAGGAGGGAATGGCTTATCAAAGGGAAGTGTTATCTGGAAGTGTCCAGGAAGGGACAGAAGTCAGGACTTATACAGGTTGGGAAAATACTGGGAACTAAATAGAGAAAGGCAAGTATACCCTGGGGTCCTTCAAAACAGTTCTGGAAAATATTCTCTAAATGATGATGATTGCATGCAAAGTAAATGAGTTGATCAGGAATGCTCCGGGTCCACAAGCATGTTAAACTTTTAATGGTTGAGATGTTATATAATATTTTCCGATAATTCAAAGTCTTAGCAAAACTTTGTGGTAAGGCTATTTGTCTCATATTTCAGATAACTCAAAAAATGCCAGGAAAGAGGAGTATGTCAACAAGCAATGTTACATGTATGGCTGGATGCTATTTTCTATTTTTTCTCTCCCTCAGTCAAGCATGTGGCCTGGTTTACGCTTCCTTACCTCACAGATATTTCAGAAAGCAGAAGTATCAGACAGTAATCCCTATTTATGTTCTCAAATCCAAGCCCATAGGAGATCTATTAATAAAAGGTTTGTAAATAAGCAAAAAAGGAAAAGAGAGCTTTTAGAAGGTGGCTGAAAGGGTTAGGGAAAAAAAAGTGGAAGGAAGAAAGGAATTTCTCCCATGGTCTACATACCTATCCCCTGAAAAATGGAGGAACAGAAAAGATCCTGGGAGTCTAAGACTCGGGCCAGAAGTTCTGAAAGTCCCTTGGAGAGTCTATAATATTTTTAAAAGGGATAAATGTATGGTGTGGCTAGGGACTTAGGGCCTAGGCATGGGGTTCCTGACATTGGGACATTTCCTAAGAATGTTAGGGAAGCAGTCTGGATCTGAAAGAACTGTAGGAGTAGGGGACAGTAAATATATTACCAGGGACTTTCTCTGTGCATGTGACACCTGAAACCTCTCTCCCCAATCAAACCTCAATGCCTTGGCCCTGCATAATCCTCCAGAGACTTGGGGATGTGGTTGGGATTAGAGAAAGTCTCAAGCATGAGAAGTGAGAAGCTTAGAGGCAGCAATTAAGTTGACACATGTTCTCGCTTATAACTGGGAGCTAAATATTGAATAACACATGAACACAAAGAAGGGAGCAATAGACACCAAGGCCTACATGAGGGTAGAGGGTGAGTGGAGGGTGAGGATTGAAAAACGACCTTTTGTGTACTGTGCTTATTACCTAGGTGGTGAAATAATCTGTACACCAAACCCTGTGACACGCAGTTTACCCATGGAACAAATCCGCACTTGTACCCTCAAAACCTAAAGTAAAAGTTGGAAAGAAAAAAAGAAAGAATGAATGAAATTAAGTTGACTTGTGTTTAATAGGCTTTTATTACACATCAGAGTTTGTGGGATGAAATTTGTCTCCATTACCCAATGCAGAAAACACTGAGGAAATTCATATAACAAATGACCTCTAACACTTACATAGCACTTACTATGTATTAAGCGTTGTTCTCAGTTTCTACGTGTATTAACACATTTGATCTTCACATTACCTTAATCTTAGAGAAAGATGTCATTACTCCTGATTTAAAGAGGAGGAAATTGAAGCAGGCTAAGGTTAAAGAACATGCTTAGGATTACACCGCAGCTGACAGGTGGCAGAGTCAGCATTCAGAGTCCATGTGGGTAGTCACCACTCCAAACTTCCTCTCCAAAACCGCTGACTCAGGCACACTTTTTAGTTTAAAGTAAATCAGGACTTATGAAGTGCATGTCAGTTTTCTATTGGAGGAACCAGATCCAAAATATAAAACCCTCTTTAAGAGAATTTTTAAGATGAGCAGGTGCCAGCTGACTCCTCCTTCTTGATAATGCTTAGGTGCTTTGGAAACTCTTCCCGGATGAGGAAGAGATTCTTGTCCCTCTTCAACTGCTGCAAAGGACAAACCCCTGAAGAATAGTATGACAAAGTCGGCCTTAACATCTATCATCCCTGTAACCTCCTCTCCCTAGTGCTCTGACCTTCACTGGGATGGTATAGCAGAGGCTCCAGAGTATCCCAGGAAATGAGGAGCAGCGTACACTAACCAGTTTGGTTTAGAGTAATTCTCTCTTATTTGTAATTTTTATGAAAAGCCATTTAAATATGGCCTTGGACTTCATGATATTTTTTATGTCACAATAAAGTGGAAATTTAAAGTTACAAATTCCCCAAAAAGGTCCTCCATCAACTCCTCACAGGACGTATCCATTTTTACCTCTGATTATTGCAGTTAACTTTCCATTCTGGTGGACTGATAAAAGTCTGGTGTGTTGATATTAGTATTTGGCTTTGTTCTGCAGAATGTATTTTGAGTTGAGTGTTATTATAGTCCCTCCTCCCACATTATTTGAAAAGCTGAAGAGGCTTAACAGATTCCCAGGTGCTATTTAACCAGCTCTGTTCTACTTAGAAATCATACTATGGAGTTGGTAGTGGTTAAGGTAGCGGTTAGAAAAACACTAAGGAATTGGTAGTGGTTAGAAAACCACATGTTATTTTCCTGAGAAGTTAAAGAAACTCAACACAATTGAGGTTGAATCATTTCCTGAGTATGACTATTATCTTTGACGTCTTCACTGCCCCCACATGATCCCTAAAATTGCTCAAGGAACTCTACTTCTTTGATGCCTCCAGGCCCCATTGACCACTTTCATCAGCCTCCCCCACTATTGCTTTTCTTCTTCCTCTTTTACATTTCACTCACTCCAAAAATGCTCTCTGTCCCAATATAAAGGATACTGAGTGTAGTAGCAAAGAAAACTGTAAATAGCCTAGTTAAAAAAGACGATCTATCTCCAAAAAAAAAAAAAAAAAAAAATTCACTCCACATTCTTCTCCATAGCTATTATTTCTCTACTCCCCATTTCAGCAAAGCAGTTGAAATAACCTCTCTTATTTATTGTCTATCTTATCTTCTCCCATTCTTTCTTGAAACCCCCACCTTCAGCCTGACTGACAACATAGGGATACAAAATTTAACTCTTACTGTGAAAGGCTTAGGCACAAAATAAACCAGGAAGTCATGTTAAGAGCTAAGAAAGTAGCTCTCAACCTGTAATATTTTTACTAATTTAACTAGAAGTAGTCCAAAATGTGAATCAGGCATACATCCCACCCACTAGAAATGTATAGTCTGTTGGGGAGAATAAAAAAATAGTCACAAAATAAGGATGAAAATGTCACCAGAGAGATGACAGTTAGGAGTTATGGGAGCTCAGATAAACTGAGCAGATTTAAAAGATCTATAAAGCTGAATTATTTCTGATGTTTTTAAACTGCATGCTTTCAAAATCACTACATTTCCTAATTACCTCTACTATAAATCGAAATTTCTAAAGTTTTCCTTATCAATGCTACTCTCTATACTCTCAATCTTACAACCAGAATGGAAAAGCCTTTTTATTGAGAACCATTCTACCCAATAAATCTCTAGAACCCAAGGAAAACATAACCAAGGATTAGTACATGCACAAAAAAAAACACAACTTTTTTCATTCAATTAGAGAGAAAGAGGTCAACGTGAAGAAACTTTGACCATGCAACACAGGGAACAACGGAGAGAGGTCGGTCCAAGCAGCTAGTAGATGGCACCGCTGGAATCTGAACCCAGGTCTGTCTAATTCCAAAGCCCACAATCTTTCCATTTTACAGTCTATCTCAGATACAAATGCAAGTTTAAACTGTTTGTAAAAAGGAGGGAAAGGTACCAGCAGAGAAGAAAATATTCAGTCTACAAAAGAGAGGGGGTTGTTCATAGAACTAGCTCCATGGAAAAACTAGAGAAACACAAGAGTCATTGAATAGTAGGTATAGTCATAGAAATGCTGTGAGTGCATAATGGAAACAGGCTAAAAGATTGTCATTTAATTACAGAAAGATACAAACTGTCTTGAAAACAATTGACACATTTGTGGTCTTCAGTGAACTTCTTGTTTTCTTTTATTTTCTATATCTGAAGGCTAAATGTCACCTATCTCTCCCCCTTCTTGGTTTTTGCTCTATAAGCAGAAGAAATTAAAACTAGGGCTAGATCTCATCCACAGGCTGGAGGTTTTTATTCCTGCCACCTATCTCCAAACCACCCAAAGACTCCCTCCAACATTCACACCCTCTTACACATGTGCCTCACCTGCTCCTGCCTCCATTCCTTGCTGAAATCACTGTCTGTTAAATCTTATGTACATCAATCTATATCTCTTCTTAAAACTGCTAACATTTCCTTGAAGTCTTCCTGGACCAAATCCTGTGGAGTCAAATCATAGAATTTGATAAGCCTTCTATCCAGCAGTCATTAACTGTGAATATTTCCATGTGATTTTGATTGCTGTGCTCTCATGAATATACATTTGTATTTGATTTTATATTTCTATAAAAATGACACTAGCTCATTGACTGACCAGCTTAATCACAGCTATCTTGGAGAGAATGAGAGAGGAGAGGAGAGGAGAGGAGAGGAGAGGAGAGGAGAGGAGAGGAGAGGAGAGGAGAGGAGAAGAGAAGAGAAGAGAAGAGAAGAGAAGAGAAGAGAAGAGAAGAGAAGAGAAGAGAAGAGAAGAGAAGAGAAGAGAAGAGAAGAGGAAGAAGGAGGAGGAGGAGGGAAAGAGAGGAGAGGAGAGGAGAGGAGAAAGGAGGGGAGGGGACGGGAAAGAAGAGGAGATAGAAGAGCATGAAGAAGAAAGAAGAAGGGAAAAGGAGGAGAAGGAGAAGAAGAAGAAAAGAAGAGGAAGAAGAAGGAGGAGGAGGGAGAAGAAGAAGGGCAGGGGGCAGGAAAGAGGGAGGGAGGGAGGGAAGGAAGGAAGGAGGGAAGGAAGGAAGGAAGGAAGGAAGGAAGGAAGGAAGGAAGGAAGGAAGGAAGGAAGGAAGGAAGGAAGGAAGGAAGGAAGGAAGAGAGGGAGGGAGGGAAGGGAAGGGAAAGGAAGGGAAGGGAAGGGAAGGGAAGGGAAGGGAAGGGAAGGGAAGGGAAGGACAGCCACAAATGTCAAGTGAAACAAAATACTTTTTTTAATATAGACATCTTTAGTTTGGTGATGATGCTGTTTCACAGTTGATTTATTGTATTACTCAGAGAATAATTTTCCACAAATATCAATGTAATGTTATATGCTTTTCTCCAAAAAAAAATAGAACAGTATGATGCATAAAATGCTAGAAATAATTAGACAAAATTGTGTAATCCCACTGTGACACTTACATACCTTTGGAGTTTAATATTTACTGTGAAAGTTTTGTTTTTGTTTTTGTTTTTGAGACAGTCTCACTTTGTCACCCAGCTAGAGTACAGTTGCACAATGTTGGCTCACTGAAACCTCCGTCTCCCAGGTTCAAGCGATTCTCATGCCTCAATCTCTCAAGTAGCTGGGACTACAAGTGTGTGCCACCACACACCTAGGTAATTTTTGTACTTTTAGTAAAGATGAGGTTTTGCCATGTTGGCCAGGCTAGTCTCAAACTCCTGACCTCAGGTGATCTGCCCACCTCAAACTCCCAAAGTGCTGGGATTACAGGTGTGAGCCACCACACCCAGCCTATTTACTGTGAAAGTTTAAAATCTAATTTGAAAGCTGCTTCTTATAAGCAATATAATTTTTTCTTTAATGTAATGATCCCAGAATTTTTAATGTTACATAATATGAATACATATTTCAAATGCAAAAAAAAGCCTTTTTACATATAAACATGTATAAAAGAATAAATATAATAAATTAATTGGGGTGGCAAAGTACATTTAAAATTTTGTGATGTTTTTGTCAAAAACGGTTTGAACAAATTTACAAGAAAAAAACAACCCCATCAAAAAGCAGGCAAAGGATATGAACAGACACTTCTCAAAAGAAAACATTTATGCAGCCAACAAACATATGAAAAAAAGTTCATCATCACTGTCATTAGAGAAATGTAAATCAAAACCACAATGAGATACCATCTCAGGCCAGTCAGAATGGCAATCATTAAAAAGTTATCATTCTGAGCAAACTATCGCAAGGACAGAAAAACCAAACACTGCATGTTCTCACTCATAGGTGGGAATTGAACAATGAGAACACTTGGACACAGGGCAGGGAACATCACACACTGGGGCCTGTCGTGGGGTGGGGGTATGGGGGAGGGATAGCATTTAGAGAAATACCTAACGTAAATGACAAGTTAATGGGTGCAGCAAACCAACGCGGCACATGTACACATGCACATGTACCCTAGAACTTAAAGTATAATTTAAAAAAAAAAAAAAAGTCAGGAAACAACAGACACTGGAGAGGATGTGGAGAAATAGGAATCCTTTCACACTGTTGGTGGGAATGTAAATTAGTTCAACCGTTGTGGAAGACAGTGTGGTGATTCCTCAGGTGATCTAGAACCGGAAATACCATTTGACCCAGCATTCCCATTACTGGGTATGTACCCAAAGGATTATAAGTCATTCTACTATAAACACACATGCACACATATGTTTACTCCAGCACTGTTTACAATAGCAAAGACTTGGAACCAACCCAAATGCCCATCAATGATAGACTGGATAAAGAAAATGTGGCACATATACACCATGGAATACTACACAGTCATAAAAAAGGATGAGTTCATGTCCTTTGCAGGGACATGGATGAAGCTGGAAACCATCATTCTCAACAAACTAACACAGGAACAGAAAACCAAACACCGTGTGTTCTCACTTATAAGTGGGAGTTGAACAAAGAGAACACAGGGACACAGGGAGGGGAACATCACACACCAGGGCCTTTTGAGGGGTGAAGGGCTAGGGGAGGGATGGCATTAGGAGAAATACCTAATGTAGATGATTGGTTGATGGATGCAGCAAACCACCATGGCACGTGTATACCTATGTAACAAACCTGCACGTTCTGCACATGTACCCCAGAACTTAAAATATAATTAAAAAAAAAAAAACAGTTTGAAAACTTCCCCGAAGTGAAAAAGTATCCTTTGAGGAACAATGTAAAGATGAGCTCAAGTTCCACAGGAAAGAGAAAATTAAAATTTATAAAGAATGTATAAATATCAAACTATTTTCATGTTTTCCAGGAAAAGTGGGGCTTTCTCATTCATTAACCAATAGCATAATATTTTCCAGGAACCTTCACTCAGAAGAAATGCTGTGGCCCTTCCCTTTACCAACAGAAAATGGAACACAAGAGACCACATAGCTGAACAAATTACAGCCTCCTTACAAGTGAGAAACCTTCGAGGCTACGTAGTTTTCAGCCAAAGAAAAATAACCAACAGCTTCTCCACAGTGTAAACTGAAACAGGGAAAACATGAACATCACAAACTGTACCACAGAAGCCGGCATGGCTGTGAGGCCCAAGACCATCACTGAAAAGATGCTCATTTGCATGACTCTGGTGGTCATCACCACCCTCACCACGTTGCTGAACTTGGCGGTGATCATGGCTATCTGCACCACCAAGAAGCTCCACCAGCCTGCCAACTACCTAATCTGTTCTCTGGCCGTGACGGACCTCCTGGTAGCCGTGCTCGTCATGCCCCTGAGCATCATATACATTGTCATGGACCGCTGGAAGCTTGGATACTTCCTCTGTGAGGTGTGGCTGAGTGTGGACATGACCTGCTGCACCTGCTCCATCCTCCACCTCTGTGTCATTGCCCTGGACAGGTACTGGGCCATCACCAATGCTATTGAATACGCCAGGAAGAGGACGGCCAAGAGGGCGGCGCTGATGATCCTCACCGTCTGGACCATCTCCATTTTCATCTCCATGCCCCCTCTGTTCTGGAGGAGCCACCGCCGCCTAAGCCCTCCCCCTAGCCAGTGCACCATCCAGCACGACCATGTGATCTACACCATTTACTCCACGCTGGGTGCGTTTTATATCCCCTTGACTTTAATACTGATTCTCTATTACCGGATTTACCACGCGGCCAAGAGCCTTTACCAGAAAAGGGGATCGAGTCGGCACTTAAGCAACAGAAGCACAGATAGCCAGAATTCTTTTGCAAATTGTAAACTTACACAGACTTTCTGTGTGTCTGACTTCTCCACTTCAGACCCTACCACAGAGTTTGAAAAGTTCCATGCCTCCATCAGGATCCCACCCTTCGACAATGATCTAGATCACCCAGGAGAACGCCAGCAGATTTCTAGCACCAGGGAACGGAAGGCAGCGCGCATCCTGGGGTTGATTCTGGGCGCATTCATTTTGTCCTGGCTGCCATTTTTCATCAAAGAGTTGATTGTGGGTCTGAGCATCTACACCGTGTCCTCGGAAGTGGCCGATTTTCTGACGTGGCTCGGTTATGTCAATTCTCTGATCAACCCTCTGCTCTATACGAGTTTTAATGAAGATTTTAAGCTGGCTTTTAAAAAGCTCATTAGATGCCGAGAGCATGCTTAGACTGTCAAAAGCTAAAAGGCACGACTTTTACCAGAGCCTCATGAGTGGATGGGGGTAAGGGGTGCAACTTATTAATTCTTGGACATACTTGGTTCAGGAGAGTTTGTAAGTATGTGTGGTCTTGTTTTCTTGTTTGTTTGTTTTGTTCTGTTTTGTTTGAGGATTGTTATTCGGCGTGCTGTTTTCTACCTCTGGTCTTATCTGTGATACATAATTTCAAATAAACATTATCATACAAAAACATAAATTTTGTAGAAGTAATAATAAGGTGAAATAGTAAATACTTTTTATGGGCTTGGTTTTTCCTAGTCATTTCAGTTACCCTGCAATTAAAGAATGCCAAAAATATCTTTATTTGCAGAATTTCTTATTACTTATAAATTAAATACCTGATAATGCCCTCTATGGCATTAAATCTGAGATTATGGCTCTATCTGCATACATATTCCAGTGGGAATTGCATGACTACATAAAGAATTCAAAGAAAGTGATGTGCTGTCATCTACTGCTTGCAGACCTGAGCTAAAGTCGTTTACTGTAGCACTGTGACTACATAGCCTATTCCTTTCAGGTAAAAATAGTACAGCTGGCTTGTCCTTTTTAGTTCTTGATTAAATACACTTCCTCGTTTTCTAAAATGGAAATACCTGGAATAAATGCACTGGCAGTTTTCTGTCTTTTACTATGAATATAAAACATAAAGCAAATAAGAAATCATCTAAATCTACTTTGGTCAGTGTGTTGCGATATTACCTGATAGACACATTGGGTCTCCTCCAATTCTAAAATCTATCCCAGCTAAGCCTCCCATATACACTTTCACTGTAGCAGGGCTAAGGTGGGAGTACATGTCAAATTTGGAAAACTTTTTAAGAAGCTTAATGAGGTGCAGTGATCAAATGACAGAATATATTATCCGAAGAACTTCCTTGGAGAATATTACTCATTAAATTAACAGTTGCGGCTGGGCATGGTGGCTCATTCCTGTAATCCCAGCACTTCAGAAGGCTGAGGCAGGTGCATCACCTGAGGTCAGGAGTTCGAGACCAACCTGGCCAACATGGTGAAACCTCATATCTGCTAAAAATGCAAAAATTAGCTAGGCATGGTAGCACGTGCCTGTAATCCCAGCTACTCGGGAGGCTAAGGCAGGAGAATCACTTGAACCTGGGAGGCAGAGGTTGCACTGAGCAGAGATCGTGCCACTGCACTCCAGCCTGGGCAACAGAGTGAGACCCTGTCTCAAAAAAAAAAAAAATTACCAGTTGTGCTCTTGGAGAAAAAAAGTAAAAGTTGAAAATCTGTGTTTACACTAAAGGCCACTCATCAGGATATGAGAATGAAATTGTATCTCCCAGAATAACTGTGGCTTCCGTGCCAGACTCTACCCTGGGACCAGGAGGCTGCAGATGGGACCTGAGGCCATGGGTGTGGCCTGAGAAGGAGTGACTGCTATAGTCACATGGAGGAGTACACCATTACAAAGTCAAGAGTGAGGGCAGGAGGACTGAAAGTTTGTACATTCTTGCACCTACTCCTAAGTAGGTGACCGTTCTCAACCTCTGCTCCTAGTCTCTCATCCACAGCCTCTCCCCATCTCTTCACTCTTCTTTGTAGGGAGAAGACATTGATTTGCCTCCTTTCCACCTCTGTGTTTTTAGTTCTTCAATCAATCCCTTCTCAACCTTACTAGAATCTTACTTCTTACACCCAACCTCCCTCTGCACCTTCCTTTCTCCCTCTCCATCTCAACACTTTTCCTCCCCACTCCTCTTTAATCTCATCTATTACTTTACTCAAATCTCTTGGACACAAAAATCAACTTCCTCTGGCCCTACTTCCCCATCAAGATCCTACTTCATCTCTCCCTTAACTCTCCCACCTCGGTTTCTCCAATCATTAATCCATTCATTCTGCATCCACTTCTCACCTTCCACTGACTTTTCTATCCTTTTCCATCTGAGTATACCCTAGTTCTCCCAAACTTATCTCCCAAAGGTCACTGGAGACTTGCCAGTAGCCCTTCTCTGCGTCTCTACCTGTCATTCTCTCATCAGTTACAACAGCTAACCATCCCTTTCATGTTTAAGCCCATACCTTCCAGGATATTTTGCTCTCCTGGTTATCCAACTACCTCCTTGTCTCTTTATTCTTTGTCTCCTTTCCTTCCTCCTGGGGCTTTGTCCTCAGCAATCACCTCCTATAGCTCTATATTCCATCCCAACTTTGGCCATTTCAACTGTTAGTTTCATGCCTGTAGCTCCCAAATTTGTGACTTTAGTCCTGATCTTTCTCTTAAACTGCAGACCCATAAGTTACATCTGGTGAGCCTCTCCCTATGAATATTTCTTTGGTACCTCAAACACAGCCTTCCTATACTTAACTCAGGATAATTTCCCCACACTCAAGCCTTCTCCTCTTTCTACCTTCTCAGTCTCAGATAACAGAATTACCATGCTTTTTATCGTTCCTATTAGATGAATGTTATTCTCTCTCTTTGCCTCAGGTCTCCAACATCCAGATAGTCCTGAAGTCTTGTCCATTTACCTCTACAGAAACATGTGTTTATGCCACCTTACTCTCCAATAAGTTGGTCCTCTCCCCTAGATCAAATGTTATTTGATCCACCTGCCTCTGGATTCTCCCACCTGCAACTCGGCCCCCACACATCTCCCAGTGTGAGTTTCTCACTGAGGCATCTCCAGACTGGCCGCATTAGCGGCACCTGAGAATTTGTTAGAAATGCAAAATCAAGGGCCCCATTCAAAACCTACTGAATCAAAAATTAAGAGTGGAGCCCATTAATCTCTATTTTAATAAGCCTTCCAGGAGATTCTGATACAAGCTAAAGTTTGAGTCACTATTTTAGAGCATACAGTAGATTTTTAACTGCATTGTTCAAAATCCTTTACTCTTTCCCTAGCAATATAAAATAAATTAATAGTCCATAGTATAGCATTCAAGGCCTCTTACTTTGTGACCCCAAACTATCTTTGCAGAGTTATATCTCACCACTTCTTCTCACCTACTTCATGCTCCAGAAAAATGTGAGTATTACCTGTGCTTTCTAAACTCCCCTAACATTCGATCCCATTGCTTTAGAAACCTGACCTCCATGGCTTCACATCTTTCTTCCACCAATGCTTCATATGTAGCTCAAATGCAATCTCTTCTAAAAAGTCTTCCTGAGATACTTCTTCCTTCCCTGTCCCTATGGAAGTCCTCTCTCCCAGCTCTATGCTCCCATATAACTTCACTTGTATCTCTAATATTATATGCATCCTATCTTCTAGTGCATTTGTTTGTGTATTTGTGCTGTCTTCTCTAGTATATTGTGAGCTCCTTGAGGGCAGGGACCGTGTCTGTTTCCTCTCTGTATCTCTAGGGACTCCTACAGTATTTTACACACGGTCGGCACTCAGTGTCTGTTAATGTGAATGGAATTAAGTCCCTGGAGGAGAAAATGTAAATGTGACATCTTTTCTCAGTGAGAAAACAAAAGTTCCAAAATTCCATGGTTCTATACTGACCCTTTTTTTTTCCAAAGCTTACCCTGACATTCCAGGTTTGTTTCGAAAAATTCTGGGAAAAACTTATATATAGAAAGAAAATAAATTTCTCACTGAATATAAGTGAATATCCTTTATTCTTTAGGATTCCAGATACGCTGTTCTCAAAAGAGAGAAAGGAAAAAGGAGAGATTCGATACAAGGGGACAAAGAACAATATCTGCCACAACGGGCTATTGGTTTCCGTATGAGCAACTCAAATATTACTGGGAAAGTCACATGGCTGCCCAGCTAGTGGTGATCTATGTACAAGGATGTTGGCATCTAAATTACAGGTGATTTTACCAAGATTGTGCCTATGCTCAAAACTAGTATTTATTATGACTACAATATCTAGAAAGTATATGAGCAACTCACATTGCTTTCCCATCATCCTCCACATATTATCTTTGAAAATTCTTGGCAATTATAAAAGTTTTAAAGTTTTAAGAGTCTAAGTAAATAAAAAGCAAAAAGCAGATGCATAATAATTTTTACTTGCTTATTTTCATTAACTCATTTCCTAATTATGAGGTAAGTCCTAATTAAATAGATTTATCTCACAGCTGCCTCTGCCCTTAGCAAAGAAGTTGCATATATTTCCTGGTATAAACCAAACCTGTTGAAAAATAATCTATTATTTGCTTTGCTTATTGAGCCAATAGTGCCAGCTGCCATTGACTACTATTGTCCCCTTTAAATTAAAGCTTGAATGAAGTAATAGTACCTTTTAATAAGGTCAGAGTTTCTCATGCAAACTTTAGTATGCTAAAAGTAAGTCCTAGGGATGACATTTTGATTGCCTTCATTAGAAATTAGGACTTCTTAGTTTTCTATTCTTGAAGAAAGAATTCTTGAATATAAGTCACCCCCCGGTAGACCTGACAGGTCCTTTAGATACAACAGGTGGCAGTAAGAACCCCCATTAGCATTGCTACCATGGTCTGCTTTGGGTAACACTACAGGCCTCCTATACTTTTGGACTTCAGTTTTCAAACTCTGATAATTACTTTTGAGGTAAGTTCCTAAATAAATTCCAGCAACTGCACTGGCTTCCAGCACAATGCATTTTAGTTTCAACCATCACACTGGTCTTGGTCTACTAATGTGTGTGCTGCCTTAGCTTAGTTTGTAAGGTCTTCTACACACAACTTTTAACTCTATTATGCACAGCATTTGCAAAAGCAGTGATAGCATTGGAAAAATTAGTGAAAAGAAGCATATGACTATGACAAGAATACAAGTAAAGACAATTTTTAAGTAAAAGTGCTAAGAAAATGACAACCATTGCATATGAGAATGGGATCAAATCTTGCTCAATCTTCAAGGACTGCCACACATAACATGTGAAGACCACTGCACCTAAAGTATGGACTATAATTAAGGAGAAAAGAAGGAAAAGGGACTGTGTCTGTTTCCTCTCTGTATCTCTAGGGACCCCTACAGTGTTTTACACACAGTCAGCACTCAATGTCTGTTAATGTGAATGGAATTATAGAGATATAAAAGTGTCTCAGCACCACACAGTAGTTTTAAAAGGAGTTTGGGAATATGTGTAGGCATTTCAGTTGTCTCCATAGAGAATAGTAATGGCATTTTTGTGGTAGGATTCAGTAAGTCTAAATCCTGCAGTAGATCAACCAGTCCCACTCAATAAAGGATTGTCCCACCCAAAATACCAATATCACCACCTGCTGAGAAATTCACAAGTATCAGCATCAACATGGGATGCTCAGAAGTCTAATGTTAATTTAGAAGTTGACTAGGGGTTGTTTGAGAACTTAAAGGTGAAGCATGGTGAACATGTGGCTTACAAAATTTCATTAAGAGCCATGAAAGGTTTCAAAGTTTCAAAGCCGATTTGAATTTACTCAACATTAAAGTGAGGGTCAAGCCAGCAAATGAAAACACCACAATGATTAAAGAGTTTCCCATGATATTGGCAGAAGTAACTAAGAAAGGGGCCCAATAAAATGCCTATCAGCAAAGAGCAGCATGTGCATGGTATTAATGCTTCAGAGGATTGACTCACATCCTTATCTGATGGAAAACCTTACAAAGACTATAAGCATAGTCTCACCTAAGCCACCTCAGATTTAGAATTAAAAATGATTGATGGACAACCTTAGACTTTAACTAGTTTATACATTGGAGAGCTTGTCTTAAATT